TATATTTGCCTACGTGGCATGGAAAGGCTACTGTGCTTGAAGGTTTGCACCCAAACTCCACTAGCTATTGTAGGTATGAATACCGGTAGTGTTTAGTGACAAAACTTTAGTCTACCTTAATGCTGAGGTCACAATTCCCACACGGGGCTCAGCCGGGCAGCTTTTGGGGACGAAAAGTACGACATAAAAGACAACAAAAAAAGAAAAGTTTTCATAATAATCATGAGCACTATTTCTGTATATTCTTGATATGAATTGTTAATTTTCCGTACATACAAACAGCCCGACCGGGCCCCGGTTTGGAAATGTGACCTAAGTATAAAGAAGAGCATGGCAAGTGATTTGGTGTATTTTTAAAGCTTATAAATTGGCTGTTTGTACTTTTGGTCTCATTCCTTGGGTCTCATTCATGAGTTTTTTTTTTCTCGATACATTAGAAACCATGCATTAATGAGTGACTTACGAGACCGTGTTCCCTATGATCCTACATTAAATCAATTGATATCTTTCATGCTATGTTAAGCACACTTACTCTACATCTCATAAAGAAATTGCCAACGACTTCTATACACACAATCCCCTTTTATGGGAATTACAAACTGCACTTAGCGGCTGCCCGCAAGAGGCCCTCCCGCGCTGCAAACCTACGACCGCACAACTCACAACACTGGATGGACTGTGCACGTCCGACCTAGCGCGCGGCTGCCGACAATAATTACGTCCTGATTTCCTCAGTTACAAACAAGCTTTTACCGCTTTGACGTTTTACATCCGTTGGGATGGCTAAAGGGAAAATTCTCATCAATAAAAACACGCGTTCATACAGCCATTTAGATTGTGACTTCGTACTCTTTTAGGAAATTGCAATCTCAAACTGGAGTATAGGTATTTCTGGTTGAACCCGCAAGGAGGCGCTACGATACCGTACCAGGATACTTCAAGGTACATGTACGCCATATTAATAGACAGGTTTATTGCAAATTCGTGCCCGGAGGCTAATTACAAATTACAAAACATAAACGAACATTGAAACAGAGTATAAAATAACTTAAGTCTGCATGATAAAGGTAGCTGTCTATAACTATGTATAAATCTATGTCTAAATGGTTTGACTTCTCTTCTGTAAACCATGGAAGACGTAATAATATAATGTCCCACCTTTTCCCAGAATTTGTGGGTTTTGGGAAGTTAAAAGAAGAATAGTTTTTTCTTTGTTTGTACGTTTGGTAGACTTCTACAATATGGGATAAATTGTAGAAGTTTGAATTAATTGACGCAAGGAAATGAATTTGAAGAGTAGATTATTTGTCATACCGTACCATTTATGTCATTTGTTCAACTTTCATTACCAGGTAGATTTCATAATGAAAGCAATTTTTGTGCAAAACTGTTTTTTTTATTCGCACGCTCGCATCAGTTTTGGGGTTCCCAGTGGATGTCATCCATATAATCAAATCAACGTGGCCTAAGACAGGACTCAAGGATATTGCAATCTCAAACTGGAGTACAAATAGGTATTACTAGTACTGTTTCAACCCGCAAGGAGGCGCTACAGTACCAGGATACTTCATATAAATTGCCGCAAGCAACCCCCTGATAATCAATTTACCCTTTTCATATTGCCAGACTGCAAAGCGCTAGGGGTGGGGATTTATGTGTTCCTTTGGTGTTTTTACATTCGATAATGAATCTACAATAATAAAGATTGCCCCATTAATATTCATATACATGTTTGTACTACAATATCTGTTGAATATTTCGAGAAATATTCGTATCTCCTTTTCCTCCTTGTTCTGACAGATGGTATAACGTAACACCATGTTGATTTGATTATATGGATGACATCCTCGCGCGCATGGAATTTCGGCCGTTTCCAACCATACTATAAATTGTACAAAACAGTCGCAAAACAAGACTTCCAAGATCTCATACCTCCATGAAATATGGGCTTGACATGTAAGTTTATTCTTTAATTATGCAACTGACCTCTAGATAAACATAATAAATGCACCTTGATGTTAACTTTTGATTAACGTACACATGTTCCAAGTATGAATTTCCCATCATTTACCACTAAGGAGTCATAGAATTTTGATATTAATCATGCAAATTAGGTCCGTATTTGCATAATTGGTATCTGGTGATATGCCTCCTGCCACAGATTATAAACAGTACATGTATCAAGGCCCCATGATGTAAACCACTGGAATTACACAATTTCCTCCTTAATTATGCAAATGAAGTCATCATTTGCATAATCACCCAATAATGTAGATCTCTGTCTAAACTACCCACTTACCAAAAATCAAGAAAATACATTGTTCCTTTGTGAATTTATCTGCTGTGAAAGGTTTCTCCAGAACCTAAGTGCAGTTCCAGACCAAGCTGCTAGGGGGACCAAATCCACACCACATATTACTGGCAGGAAAAGCTATCCACCACTCAAAAATCAAGACCATAGTATGTCCAGGACAGAAGATACAAAAAAGGAAATTGTGATGCAGTACCAAGGTCAGCCACCAGGTGGCCAATAATTCACATTGACCTTTGCCTACCCAACACCTACCCACATACCAATATCATTACAATTCATCCAGAGGTTCAGAAGTTATGCTGGCCGCAAATGTGCAGAAACACAAACACAAACACACACACACACACACACACACACACACACACACACACACACACACACACACACACACACACACACACACACACACACAGATACGCCAAAAACACTCACACACTTTTTTTGATAAAAAAACAATCAAATCAAAGCTGAGATATTATCTTCAAACTGGGGATGCTTTTAATGAATTAAATGCCATACAACCAACTGTACAATGTACATAGTATTCTTTGACACGTCAACACCTACTTAGTACCAAATTTCATGACAATCCATTTATAGTGATCATTATCAAACATACAGTACAACATACAAACGTTACCAAAAGAACCCAACCAAACGCTAAGTATACCAAAACATAACCTTCTAAGTAAAGGTAATACAACCAACTGTTACCATCCATGGCAATAGTTTACATATTGCCAGTCTTATTAACAAAAACACACCTGTAGTTATAAGATTAAGGAGCTAGACATTCATCTAGACACCCACTAAAAGCTATCTGCAACCCAAATATCAAGACGATTACATCTCCTGGACAACTCCTAAAACAAAACGGTCGTTCTGATGCAGTACCAAAAAAGCCCCACCAGAATCAAACTGGACCTTCGTCTTTTCATCTAAACACATATAGCTAATATTATCACAATCTACTTAGGCCTGACCCTAAATATAGGCACACACAAACACAAGCGCGCACGCAAACAAACAGCATCTATTACGTGATGCACACCACAGCTGGAGTGTGACCATTCAGGTATGTAATCGTATGCGATTTGCAGAGAATCGCACAGCGAGTTTCGTCGTCCTAGGGGACGAAAGTCGCAGGCTGCGAGTTTCTTCACCTGAGAGCGGGGGCGCGCAGACTACCCTATTCGTGCGAATGTCGTCGATCATACGCTGGGCCGCGCACACATACTTAGGTAACCCTTATTAGTGCTACCGGAGCCGCGCACGGCTTTTTACCTACCAACGGAGCCGGGCAGACATTTACCCAGGCCCAGCTCAGGGGGCCGAAAAATTCAAAGGAACCCTTTGTGTACGCACAACATGTCCAGCATTTTCGTTGGATCGCAAGGGAATAGAAATAAACAAAAGCTTTATAGACATATCCTTCTGGTAATCTGTGTCTAGTATTTTTTAGGTAGAATCCAAGGTCAAGACAGCAGTTTGCGCCACCAAATTATTCACTTCCGGTAAGTTTGTAGCTCAGTAGGCAGGATAACATCCAAAGGTAAGTGATCGCAGCAGAGCGGCACATACCGGGTGAGGTCATCAGGCACACAGCGCCGTGGAAAAGGTTGGTATTGCATCTAGCTACAGAGAATAAATATTTCCTACATTATTTGTTTAAGTAGTAGTCTACCAAAAACCAGAGAACGATTTGTTTGTAGGCTGTCTTATTCGTAGAATAAGCGTATAGCCAATCGGTATTGTAACATGTCGGCGTATGAACCGACAAAGAAAACATTGATTGCGCGGTGAAGTCTTCGTTCATTATGTTTCCGCTAGAAAATAATTTGATATTGCCTACTATGCATGATTTTAAACAGTGGTCCACTGCTTGGTAAAGCCTTTTCATCATAGCTGTCTGCTCACCAACATATAATGCGAGCAAGCAACCTGTTCGGTGGGAAAGCACTATATACCACACGCGTGGAATTTCATTCAACCTCACCAAACAATAAAACACATTTGCCTAACAATAAAGTACTTGGCGTTGTCCACCAGATGTCCTAAGAAAACAACAGGGCTATTTCATAAGGTGTGGATGAGAAAATGACGACCAACAATATGATCATAGAAATGGTGAAATACGGTGACTTCTACTAGCCGATCATTGATCGCTTACCTGTTGCAAATTATTTGGTCTGGCTTGATTCGTATCAGCTTAATTCTTACCTTTGTTGTGTTCAGACGTGCTCTTTCGAAGTTTTCTACCGTCATTAATTTGTCGAAATCCGAAACGTAGTCAGGGTACCATCCT